ATTTCTTCAATCGGTTAGCTGGTGGTGAACTTCCTAGATAGAGCCAGTAGCTCCGACTATGCAAAACCGCTTTTGATCGGCGTTTCGGACCAAGTCTTAATAGTCCACGATCCGTCAACGACCTCGTTGAGCTCATACCGTGCCTACGTTCCCGAAGGAAAATATTCTGATGTCGTCAGAGGAGTGAGCTGACATGAGGTTTTCGATAAATTGGAATGCGGTATTCAGTTTACAGTTGGGAGCATTCGGCTTGAATTTAGCAAAGTGTAATTAAAGCCAGTCCCAGCAGGGTTTTTACCTTCGACACTAATGGTGTGGAACGATGCGCTAGCCCTAGTCAAGAACATAAGAAGTGTGACTGAACAAAAAACTCACCTTGGAAAGCCGCTAGAAAGGGAGCTGAACGGCTTCGAAGTGGGCGTGGTTGCTCAGTCGGCTGCAATCCCCTCGGCCGATTCCAACCACGCCCACTTCGAAGCCGTTCAGCTCCCTTTCCAAGGTGAGTTTTTTGTTCAGTCACACTTCTTATGTTCTTGACTAGGGCTAGCGCATCGTTCCACACCATTAGTGTCGAAGGTGAAAACCCTGCTGGGACTGCTTGCTTTAAGATTACCATGGTGTAATTAATAAAATCTTGAATGTGATGGAGAGTGACTCCTTTTTCGCCCGCATACCTGTATATGCTTGTTGGAACGTGCTGGCTACGGTAGTTTCGATGCGTCTGATGAACTATTCAGCTTCCTCGAAGGACACTTAATCACACCGCTGCAAACCCGCTAAGGCAGGCGACGGGTCGCGCGTACCTCATCATACAACAGGCACTCCATGGTTACGGAACGACCGCAGCAGCAAAAAAGTCCTCATTTTCATAAAAAAAGCAAAATATTGAAAACCCTACGAAACTTACTCACCGCTCAAGTTATTTTTTTCAAAACGCTTAACCGAATAATATAAGTCGTCCGCTGACACCACATCGATACGATTTACTGATCGCTCCCTCTAAATCAATGTCGTAGATCTACACAAAATTCCTGCCATTGCACGGAGATGAAAAAAGAAAACATTCCCGACCTACTTAGATAAGGCGCCCACTCATGCGTCCGCCAATCGTACCGACGACCCAGCTCCAGGCCGGGCGCATAGTTCGCAACTCGGAATTAAGACACAGTAGGCCGAACAGGATATAGATATATAAGTAGAGAGTTGCCGCTGACAAGATGGATACGCATCGGGATCTACCGCTTTGATAGTAGATAGGCACTCTAGCAAAAAGATCACATTCACATCTAATCTTATCAAAGACGCACTATCTTGATCTATACTACCAACCTCGCTCTCTACTACTACCACTATAGATACGCAAGTACATCTCACCAGCGATTCCCAAATCGATACGCATCTAATCTGTCATCGCGATCTCCTACCTACGCGTCCAATCTCCGATCGGCGCACCATAACGCGCCTAGATACACCGCGATCATTCAGCCTTGCACACATCTACTATCTCTCTCGTAGGACAGCGAATGCACTGAGTTAGGGACTGTTCATAGTTGAGAATTCGGCGAAGATGCGAAGAAGCGATTGGTAGCACGTTCGCACAAGAGACGCACGCGCCGCGACGCTTCAGAAATCAATCCACGAACCGTTATTGATGTTTAAAGAGTTTCCGAGGGAAAACTAACGCAGACTGAGAAGATTATCGAAATAGAACACTTAACGGCGACATGTCAATAAATAGATCTTGACAAGTAATACAGTCAGTAGAAGAAAAGAGTAATAACAGTGGTAGCAGCGAAACAAAGAAAGATCAGTGATTCATTCATAGACTTGCATCTTATCTGTCGACGCGTATCTTATCCTTCCACGCTGGTCGCCCCTCGCATCTTCGCCTCGCGCGATCGCTGCAATCCAGACGCGCTCTCGCATGTGACGCTATTAGGGCGGAGTCGAGTCAATCGATATGCACTCACTTCATTTGATAGAATCGCTTGGTCGCATCATCGCATCTTCGCATCTTCGCCGAATTCTCAAAGTATGAACGGGACCTTAGACTTGGCTCACTCACGTATTCGAACATTCCGATGAGGGCACCGATCAAGAAGGTTAGCAGGAGTGTGCGAGAGGAAATTGTCGTCTTCCAAGTCTTTCGAACCGGTCGCATAATGGCTTCTACAACCATGGTAATCACCGCACAGTGATAGGTCAGATTCGAAATGATTACTGAAATGATTCGAGTTCAGGTAGATATGGCGAAGAACGCGAAGAACATGTTCTCAACAAGAAAGACCTGAGTGGTTCTATTCCTTCGATAGATTTCTCTCGAAACTTCTAGAAAGAGTTCCTAGTAGAACTCCGGAAATTGTTTCACATCCCTTCGCTTCTCCATTACGGTTTTTACTCCATAGCGGGAGAACCAATTTTTAGTGCAGGAAGAACGTCCACTAAACTGGTCACTATTGCTGCACAATAACTGCTCGCATTTCAATTTTGCCTTTATCTTTAGGCCCTCTTTTAATTTACGCTTTGTGTTCTTACTCACGTGCAGACGCAACCGTCGTTTGGAAACCAACTAGCCGTCTTTTTTGTGCAACGTCTGCAGCCTGGGAATATATCACGGCGCAATATTGCACACACTCAATCAATTATGTGGTGCGGCTTTCTTCTCATTGCTTCTGCTTATCTGGGGCGTTGTTTGGAATAGTTTGGTATCTTGATGATTTGGTGACTACAGCAAAATTCGTATCGTTGTGAAGTAATGGGGAGGTATGCGCTCTTTATTGCAGGTTTAGATCTGATCGAAAGCTGTATCCTGTTTGTTGATGTGCGATTTTTGTCTTACTTAACTTCATAGTGTTCTTGATTTTGAAGAATTCTGTAGATGGAACAGGTCACAAGAGAACAAGAGACGGCGCGATTTAAAGTGAGAAAATATAGCGGATAAGTAAAAAACAAAAGAGAAAAGTGGGCGCTGATTTCTTCGCGGTGCGGTAAAGGGACATTTCTGGTCTGGGTCGCTAGAACAAAAAGTGACTTTTCGCTTTTCGTAGCACGAAATTTTTTTCAGTGCAGGAACCCTTGGCCCAGTAATGATCGGGGTAGCCCAGTAGTTACCACAACCAAAAAAGCGCGCTCTGAAAAGCGAAAAAGTCGCATTCTATTTTAACGACCACACCCGGACATTTTTGCGCGGTTATTCCAGCGCACTCAAGACAACTAGGAAAATTTTTAGGTGCTAACTTAGTTGGGGGGGGCCACGCGGCGGCGCGGCAGTCTGCTCGCCTGGCATGTTCGGAAATCCGTGGGCCAGGGGGAGTGTAGCCAGTCTAGGGGGTTGGGGGGTGGGGGCAGTCACTTGACATGCGTGAAAAGCTGGAATGTTCGAGTTTACACTGTCTCGCTCGAGAGAGCCCAGGTGAGCAGACTGCCGCGCCGCCGCGTGCCCCCCCCCCAACTAAGTTAGCACACCATTTTATTCGTATCCCATTCAGAATTATGAAATTTTTGCCTCCAAAAGTGATGTGACGCTCTGTTCATCTCGCTTCTCACGATCAGCGAGAGCGTTGAACGAAATGCGGAAATGATCCAAAAAAACAATTGTCATGAATAAAATTACCCTCCATTTCAAGGCTTATTGTAAGCCTCAAGGACGGTCGACGTTGACTACGGAGTGCGTAAGTCATTTTCGTTTTCCCAGGCGTTCCCCCGCCTCTGGGAAAATGAAAATGACTTACGTGATGGACGAATTTTCCCTTCCCATGCTTAGTGGGCGCTTGCCGTCGAGTCGCCGCGCAGCCCCCAAATCTGCACCGGGGATTTTCGAACGGGAAGGATAATCACTGGAACAGAACCTTGCTTAGGTGCTGAAGAATTTGTTGTCGCTTTTGCTAGACTTCCGCCTATACGTGTGTCAGTATGTTACTGATCTTGTTTCAGACGTTATGCTGTCTCTACTGGGGCGATCGAGCTCATCGGCTTGTCGGCCGGCGGTGCTGATCGTTGCCCAAACGCACGCCCAATCCACAACACCCAGCCCACCAACCCCCACGCACGAATCTTCCCGAGACCCGGATTACCTCTACAACTCAATTCAGAAAGGGGACTGGTGGAAGGTGCGTCTTCTATAGAAAGAGTCCTCCATGCACTCTTCTTGTTTTTTTTTTTTCTGAAGAAATACAGTTTGATTGTCTTTTTAATTTCTATCTTCTCAATTTCGTCCATTGAGTTGTAGCATATCCACTATCCTGCCACATTTTTCAGAGCTTCTTTCTCCGGAAATGTCATCACGGTGTTCGGTACTTCTGGATTTATGGGTCTCCCTGTTATAAACAGACTAGCGAAGCAAGGAGATCAGCTCATCATTCCTTACAGGTAATGTATTTCTACTGTGACCTCCTTCTCAAACGTTTGGAATTGACGAAGGTTTCAGTACATTTTTGCTTCACCAGCCTTCAACATTAATCACCTTTAGGCAGGATCCGTACTATATGAAAGAGCATAAGATTCCTGGTGAATACGGTCAAATTCTATTCTTTCCTTTCGAGTTAAAGGACGAAGCAACCATCAGAAAGGTAGGTAGGAATAGCTCGGCAAGAAATGTCTGTGTATCTTCAGCAAACGTATTCAGCAACGCATGAGTCTTTCATGTATCACTTCGGACTCCTATTTACTTATCCAATCTGTGCTTAATATTTGGTTGTTCAATCGATCCCTTTTCTGTCCAACTTTCTCATAATCAGAAACAAGAAATATGAATTTTCTGAATAAGTATCATTTCCAGTGTTACATCTTCAAAGGAATTGTTAAAGGCGCGATGGTACAATAGAAAATGTTTCAATCATTAAGCTTTACTATGCACTGATCAGTACGGGGTGTCGCGGTGTCGAACAAGGTCGTCCCCCTCCAACAGCGCTCTGTGCATGTTGTGTGGAGGGGCTCGTCTTGAGTCGTCTCTAAATTTTGAAACTGCCCATGCACATCAAAGGTAGACTGAAGCCTATTGATGTTTCGAGCGGGAAACTAGATCGCCGCACCTCCTACTACCTCCACTCCACCTCCACTCTCTAGAAGTATTCTGGAAGAAGCGTATGAATTTTCGGGAAACAGCCACATTAAGTGAGGTGGCCACGTTGAACGTTTGAAAAGCTGGTGCATGGCCACTTTCCCTAATTTTGTGGATAGGTAGATTGCTGTAACAAATTAGAAACTCGAGTCTTGTCATCTAATGTCGCTCAAATTTAGTGTTATTTTTTAGGTGGTTCGATACTCAAACATCGTGATCAATCTCATTGGAACCAGAGTGCCTACAAAGTGCGTTGATGCTTAACCTTACTGTGGATTTTGAGATTTTTGTAAATGCTTTTAGGAATTACGACTACTACGAAGTTCACGAGCATGGTGCTCGTCGTCTTGCAAGAATCTGTCGGGAGATGGGTGTAGAGCGCTTTATTCACATGTCAGCTCTGGGCGCAACACCCAACCCAGGAAAAGGACACTATGTTAAGCAATCGCAGTTTCTGCGTAGTAAGGTAAAAATTTTGAATTTCTTTGTTTTACAAACTTTGCCAATCACAATCTTCTTTTGGAATTGTTCCTATTTGCTCCATCTTGATTCAACCATTACTTTCTCAAGGGCCTTGGAGAAATTGCGGTGCGTGACGAATTCCCATCAGCGACGATAGTTCGTCCATCACTTATTTATGGAGAACTTGACGGTTTTATCACATATTATGTGAGCAGGTGGCGAAAAACACCTCTTGATTTGGTGTACTTGTACAAGAAGGGCGAGCACACCTACAAAATGCCGATCTGGGTGAGTCATGTTTGTGTTTTTGTCTGTACAACGGTACATTAACTTCTTTATTAGCGCAAGTATTCCTTCGCAGTACTCTTCTGGAAGGCGTGGACCACATTTTCCTCTCGAAAATATCCGGAATGTTCTGAATCAAATTTACACAAAATGTTACAACTAAATGTTCAGAACGGTGACGTAGCTGCTGGAATTGATCGCATCGTTCGCGATCCAACATCGGCTGGTCAGACTTACGAATTTGTTGGACCTCATTGTTACCAATTGAGCGAGCTGATGGACTTCATGTTTAGGAAAGCAAAATGTATTGAGGAATTTGGATTCCAGTGCGTGGACTTTTTGATTATTTTAGTTTTGCTAAGGTTTCAGGTTATCAGTGTTGCCTCAAGCTTCTAGTTTACCAGTGTCAGAAAATTTTTTCAACCTTTTCAAATGATTACTCTGCTCTATCTCCATCAAAAACTCCAGATATTGAAAAATATCCAAAAATGTTTATTGATTCGTGAAGCATGCTAACGGGTTGTCCACACATTATATGGACCCTTGTTTTCCTTTCCTCGAAGGCAGTTGTCCTCAGTTCCTTTCTCCGTTCTGATAGCAAGGAAGTTATAATATTGGATTGGTTTGTTTTTCGAATCTGATTGTTTTAGCTATCGAAGGCATGCATTGCCTGATCCATACTTCAAAATGTTAACCTGGCTAACAGAGCAATGGGGCCACTTCTTCAAGTGTAAGGTCCCACTCAATCGCGAATGGATGGAGTATGTGGTGAGTTCAAAGCCAACGAAATTCCTCAGCAATGCATAGCATAAAGACCTCTCTGCATCTTTCTAATCTTTAAAGTTTGTGATTTAAAATTCATTTTGTTATTTCATTCGCAGGAAGTGAAAGACGACGTCCTAACTGGGCAGAGAACTTTGGCTGATCTGGGCATTCGACGTTTGACAGAATTTGAATTTGCTGGAGGAAAACAGGCGTTCTATCAGTCTTTCCATAAGGTCTATGAGGAACAGTATGGAGACTTACCGCCTCCTCGCCTACCTTTGAGGTGAGTTTTTCGATTCTTTTTCGGCAAGTTATGCGCATGTGATGCGTTGATGTATTGCTATCTTGTGATGATCAAAATTATTTTTTTCAATGGTCTCAGCAATTTGTTTTCGCTTTTGGGCTGTAGATTTATCGCGAAGAAATTCAAGATCTTTGCAATAGAGAGAAAGCCTTTTTTATGAAAGTTCTGGCTTATTAATTTCATTGCTAGGTCGCCGCCGATTATAAGAAAACCAGATATGGAGGAGAAAATGGCGTTTGGCAAAGGACTTGCTTTCAACTAGGCTACATCGTCGTAGATTCCGAGGACTAATTGTAGTGTAAACTTGTGAGTCTTGTGGCAGTCTGTTCACATAGTAGTCTGTGGGCTTTTATTAGATTGTTATTATGTAGATCATCTATAAATAATTGAAAATCTGTTAATTTGACAATAATGAACGTTGACGATTTTTTCTCGAATGGCTACACAGATAGATGCCGCGTTCGACAAAATTGGATTCAGTTCTTTGTGGTTTGTCAAACTGTAATATAGAAACTAGAGCTGAATGCAATTTTCCGTATCCTTAGCCTTCACCAGCGTACGTGCGAGATTTTTCCTTATTGCGATGCACATGCGTGCTAAAACGTCTAAGGTGTTGTTTATTTATTGTATTCCTTGAAATTTTTTGTTCGCCCATTACTGCATATTTATACTCGATTTTTTCCATTCATGAAGGCACGTTCCAAGCTTGTTGAGTGAAACAACCTTTCCTGATCATAGGGCGGAAGAGTCCACAACCAGTGGTGTTGCTTTCGCGTTTCGAAAAGGCGTGGTGTGCTAGATTGTCAATGGTTCAGGCCGCTATCCGAATGCGCTCATATCTGTGTATCACCCGTTCTTTTGCTCTTCGCATGGCTTCTTTGGGGCATCTCTCCAGCAGTTTCGTTCTTTATTTAAGAAGTGTGGTCCATTCCCAGTGTTTTGCGCTGTTTTTCTCCTCTATCTCAGATGGTTCGCTCCGCCCTCCACTTTGATTTCAAAGTTCGTAGCGACGACTGGCGGAGACTGATCCTTAATCGGTATTTATAACATAGACTCCAGAATTGTGCTGTGGCGGCCTTGGGGCCAAATTTTCTCAAGCAACCTCGGTTCTTATTGAAAACACTAAAACGCCTAGTGGAGAACTCGCGGAGACTTTCCCAGATGATGCTGCGCGCCTCACTCACATTGTTACCTCACTCTGCTTTTTCCATGATACTTCTATCCGAACGATTGTGTACTAACTTTTTGCCCAAGTGACCTGCTCATACTGAGGATTTACGGGCTTTTCCTTGTTTAGGTGGCTAGTTAAGACTTTGTAAAACTGCGTTAGGTGCGATTGAAAGAATGGCACGGTGCAGATTGATGTTAACACCCATGGATCTTGATTCCGCTCTAATATTAAGATTCTAGGGCTCTCTTGGGACGTCGGAATGATTTTTATGACAAATCGAAAGATTTTTGCCATCACAACATAGCCGCAACACTTGATCGAAGCTCTCAATGTCTGTTTGCTCATTAACACATTGACGACCGCGCGCGTTTTGGCTTTTTTGGCCGTGTGGGACCGGGCCGATTTTGCGAGTGCGACCGCCGCACCTCGGATCCGTGAATTTTTATTGATAACTTTTTAAAGCACCAGTGGTACAAAAACATCTCAGTAACAGTCAATGCGTAGAAGGTAATAGAGTATATAGTGACGAAGTTCCGATTAAAGAACATGTAATGGTAATGAAAAAGGAAATTTTAGTCATTTTATCTGTAGTGGATGCCAAAAGCTCTTTTGATGTGGTTATACCAAGTGAAACATGTATTTTTCTGTCTCTTTAGATTTGCATTTACTTTCACTACCCTTTTTTATTGACGTGTTCATGAGAATAGCATGAAAACTATTAATGAACCAAGCCGCCGGTTTCGGTGAGCTTGGAAAACTTCTTCTAAACTGGAGCATATTTGAACAAACAATGACCTATGTCGTTCACAATAATGTTATGTTCTAATCCATAGAAGAGAGACAAACAATTCGGGAAAAAGCTGCGCATGCCCTAGAAAAAGGGATGATAAGGGTGAGACGCGGTAACGCGTCTCAATGTCCAACGAGGTGCGCAAAGTGAGACGCGTTACCGCGTCTCAATGTCGTCAATGTGTTAAACCTTTTATCTTCCCTAAACCTTTAATGTCTAGAGCTGCACTTCTTAGATTTTCTTCTTTATCGTCTCTAACGTTCTCACTTCCACAGCGCTTATCTGCTGTACTTCACGTATGTCCGTATCCGTAACTTCTTTAGTTCTGCAACAAGGCTTCTGTCTGCAATGGTGCCCATATCAAAGAATTTGAAGTCGAGCTTCCGTAACAACCTTACACCTATAATGGAGAGTGCGAGCGCGATGCGGGCCTCTTATAGAAATCAATCAAAGAATTGGAAGCACCCAGTAAAGGTGGAACACGTATGTAAGGCGGTAAGACGACATTCCCTAGAATCTATTGCAGACAACATTGCAAATTGCAACATTAACCCTTTGACGACAATGCGGATTTGCACGTAGCGTGCTCGTGGGACCACGCCTCTTTTTGGCGCGCCCAACTCTCGCACAAAATGGGGCAAAATTGTCCCTAAAAGCAGTTTTTCTATCAAAATTTTGACTATGACAATAAACAAAATATGACTGCAGTCTTAAGAGGACGAATTCACGCTGAAAAGCAACCCATTTCAAATTAACCTAGGGATGGTGAGTGGTACACGAAAGAAGGAAGAACCATGAGAAACGGCCCAGAACCCGAGAAATGGTACCCCTTCCCTGCCGTTGATTCGAGCATTGATGCGACTCTCATCGCTGTGCCCTCTTCAACACTACGCTCTCTCAGCTATCTAATCACTCGCCACGTATTGAACTACGGCGAGTGATCAGATGATCGGTGGGCGGAGATCGCCGGACCCGCCAGCTTTGAGGCATGATAGGTCGCCGAGGTCAAATTTTTCCATGCGAATTGCGCGTCAGTTCGCACCCTCAGGAGGTCCGTGGGTCCCTCAACTAGGTCAGTTTCCCTTTCTTCGACCTTCATTCTAATCGTGAATTCCTCCTTTAAGCTCACATAAATGTTTTTGGAATGCAAGAAGTGACCGTTTGGAAAGAACTCAGATTTCAAAGGGATGGTGGTTGAAAACTCTTGGAGTTCAAATGTACAGTAAGATTGTCGATATAGTTCTAACTCCTCCTTATGTCTTAAGACTGAAAAAACGTAGAGGTCCTGATCAGTAATCCACCTTAGGCTTAATAATGTAAAACAGTGATTACTACATTGCCGGGCGAAGTTGCCATATCCTAAAATTTCATATAAATTAAATAGTATCAAACATTTCTATGAAATTGATGGCTAAGGTAGGCTAACGGACTTGCTCTAATGTTTGATATGCTGAAATGTTTCGAAGTGTGTAAAAAGTAAGAACTTTGAGGGTGGCCCCGACCATTTGGTGCGCATTGTTTAAAACGCGACGGTTCATAGCGGGCACCCAACGCGGTGGTGCCAATTGTCGCCAAAGCGTTAACTCATAGATTATGGGAGCTATTAGGCCGAAGACAATGCACACTGGGGTACACATCGATCGAACAGTGGTCAAGTTTTTCGGATTTTTTCCAGAAAACTGCTGATTGCAGCGCTACCAGTGGGGTTTATCCACCCAGTGGATGAAAGTCTCGAGAGGCACTAACATTCTTCGGGCATAAATGTTGCTCACGAAACTTGAAAAGGAAAATTCGAAAAAAGAGTGTTGTAGGACTTCCTCCCAATATAAGAGAAGCGTGTAGGATGCTAGTATTGTAACCATCATTGATCGCTTTTGCATTTCTCTTCAAAGGCACAACCCACGTGGAAGTTATGTGAACGATTCCTTTCGGCTTAAGGATAGACCTTAGAGGATAATCACGGATGTGGCACTCCCATGCATGGAAATCCCTCGACAAGAGTGCTAGAGCTGTAAAGTAAGCTGCAGTGTTTTCAGGCTACTGTCTGGCGCTCTCCCATCTGTTGTGCACTTTCGCCTCATACTCTCCTCGCTCAACCTCTCATTGCCTCAAAGGAAACGATCCAAGGTCGCAATGGTTATTCAAGGACCGACGTATACGCCTAGATGAGTCTTCGAATACCGATCTCAATACCTCCCGAATCCGCTTAACGGTTCTCTGAACGAGTTACGAAGTAATTCTGGTGTCACAGTCCGCGATCGTTGCACGCTTCCCGCGAATCGCGCGATGGATCACAGAAATCACAAGTGCCCGATCAATACTGCAAGGTGCTCTCCAATCCCGCCGCCATTTCTGCTTGATGGTGATGGTTGAATGACGACTGTTCATGATTCTACTTGTTTCATATTCAGTGTTTCAAATGTTCAAATGGGGCACTTGCGATTTTGCGAATCGCGCGACGGATCGCGGACTCTGACACCAGCCCAAAAGAGCGCAGTGCTATTGGCCGGGACCACTGTGGAGGGG